GTTACCAATCGTGTTTTCATTTTAATATTACAGCTACAGCTTAATATGTACAGCAAAAAAATCTGCAGTCTAAAAATGTACAGCTTAAAAAATGTACATCTACAGCCAAAACATTTACAGCAAAAATTCTACAGTAATTAATCTACAGTTACAGCCGAACCAATCACCCACGTTACAGAACAAATTAATAGTCTGATTTCTATTAAGGGAGATTTCACAAAATTTCAGTGGATAGACGTATGAGTTTTTTTTGTCCATAACTATTCATTACCATAACAAAAGGACAACACATTTGGTCCAAATGAAATTTTTGGGATGATTAAGACAGATATAAAAACACTTGGTACGATTAGGAGAGTAAACTAATTTTCTGTTTTGTGAGAATATAAAAACCATTTCACTTCCAAAAAGCATGGAAGAAATGGGAATTGGAAATGGTTGTGGGGACAACTTAGCGTAATGTAAAACCAAGATTCTCTCATATATTTTTTTCTTGATTGGATATCCAAACCGAATATTCTTTTACACTAAAAATTGCCAAAAATATGATAATTCTTGAAAATTGACCAAAGAAAAGAAGAAAATATACAATTCTTTTCCACCGTCCAGACATGTGTTTCTCAGTCACAAGATAAATTTTTTTTTTTTGTTATTTGAATAATAAATATAATAATCTCATCATCTTTTTCCAACTGAAACTGAGAAGAATCTCATCACTTTGGTAAAACTATTTAAACATTTGTATCAACCACTAAATAAAAAAAACTCTCCACAAAAATGCTAAAAGAAAGCAAAGATAAAAAAATAAATAATTTAGTTTTCCTTGTCTGGTTCGGTTCGCATATAAATATAAATATTCTATTTGAAGGCAGTATATATATATAGGACATATCAATTCTTTTATTCGGGCCATACCTTCGTTCTTTGCCCTAAACCAAGACAAACACAAAATCTCATCTCTCTCTCTTTTCCCTGTGGTGAGTTATTCTTCTCTGATTCGCAACATTTTAGTCTTTCTCTGATTCCGTGTCAAATTAAAAAAAATGGAGTTTTTGGTTTCCGTCGCCATTTAGAATGGGACGGTCGTCACCAACACGTCGTCTTGCGTTGCATTCTCTTTTGTTTCCCGGGAGAGATCTATGCGATTGATTCAAGCTTTGCTGGGCTTTTATCTTTCTCAAACTTTTCTTATCATGAGGGGTTGATTCTCGTGGTGGGTCTTTTTCAATATTGGGAAATCAATTTGGTGATAACTAATCCCACTTGTTAAATTTTGGGGGAATTTTGAAACTGTTTATCGTTTTTTTATTTTTTTGGGGTAAGAGAAGAAATAAATCCAACTCAAAATCATTTTTTTTTTGGGTTCATTGTTGGAGGTGGGATCCTCATGATTTTTTAGAGGGAAAAAAGAGAAGCCTTTTGTGTCAACATCATAAGCTTTCTATTTTCTTGCAGTATTTAGCTTCAAACTTTTCAGAGAATTTATATAATTACATGTTTTTAAAACTTGAAACGATTTCTTGCAGAGGAGCCGCGTTTAAAAGAGGGATTTGACTCTGACAAGTTATTAGTCCATTGAGGTGTCGGGCTGTCAAAACTTGACAGCCCGAGTTACAGCAACAGGAACCTTCCAGGTAAATGCCCCAACAATCTTGGAACACGCGTTTTCAACA